GCTCTACAACTTTTGTTTAGACTTCGTCGGCTAATTTTGACTTTATTTTTAAAGTTATATTTTAACAGGCGGGACATGAAAAGTCCGTTAAAAATTCATAACTTCTTCATCCGACGTCCGTTTTCATCTGTCTTTTTACCGTTGAACTACTATCAACAAGATCTTTGATTCTTGTTTAGGTTATTTCGGTTAAAAATCACTCAATCTAAAATTCGAGTTTCGGGCTGCATACTGCTAAGCTGAAACTTAGAAAAATCATAACTTCCTCATACGAAGTCAGATTTGGGCGTTCTTTTTATGCACGCTCTCGGTTTAACGAACACTACGACTTTCGTTTAGATTACTAAGGCTAAAAAAGCACTTTATCGTAAATTCACTTTTTACGTCACACAGCGTTGTGACGGTTCTGTCACAAAACTTCGACAACTCATAACTTCTTCGTTATAACTCAGATTTCGGTATTCTTTATATCTCTGAAATCCTTGTTTCAACCACTACAACTTCTTCATAGATATCGGGTTTATCTAATATTTATTTTCGATGCTTATTTTTATCCTTAACTTATTAAATCATAATAATTAAGCATAAAACACATAATAATTAAATAATACATCTTTATTACTTCAAAACATATTACAAAGGTTGACCTAGACTATTACATCATCATTAATGCCTAACCTAGAAACACGGGCGTTACACGTATGAATACGCTCAGTGTAATGCATGGATTTCCCCGATTCCTCGTTGTGATGGGTTGTATGTTTGGCTTCATCAAGCAGTACGCGGGGCATACCAGCCTGGTATGCGGGGCGTACTCGTGAGATACCCTTATTGGGCCTTTTGGGTCTTGGGTCTTTTGGGTCAGATATGGGAAGGATAAAATGGTCTTTTACCTATTGGAATGATAGAGTATGAATTGGACCTTGGATTATGGAAAATTGCCTTAATTATTGATTTGATTAGGAATAATTTGGATGTGTTTAGTGTGAGGAGCCCGGTAGCAGCAGTGCATGCGATTTGGTTATCTCTAGATTGAGGTGAGTCTCCTTACTGTACCCGTGGGTCAAAAACACCAATGTCGGCCCACTAGGATATGATATGTGCTTGTTGTCTTTGTGACTATTGTTGTATGCATGTATGCATGTTTGTTATATGTATGTGGCGTGAAATAGTCCCGAGGTTGAAATAGACCCATACGGTTGAAAAATATCGATTGAGTTGAAATACACTCGGGGGTGAAATAGACCCGTACGGTTGAAAAATACCAATTGAGTTGAAATAGACTCATGGGTGAAATAGATCCGGTACAGCTTTCAGATGACATATATGTATGGTATGTGGTATTTTGGGGAACTCATTAAGTTATGTGCTTACAGTTTTATGGTTATGGTTTTAGGTACTTCCAGTTCGAAAGGGAATGACCCGGCTTGATCGCAACGCATCCACCTATGTTTCCGCACTTTATGATTTTGGGATTGTACTCTGATAACTATTTTCACTTTGATATACTTTTGAATGGTTGATAAGAATATATGGTGTTTATGGATTGAATTAAAAATGAAAATTTTACCTTATGATTTTTGGGACGTTACAGGCAGTCTCCCCTCCACCACCGCCCATGGCAACTCCAGCCTCCGACAAACGACAATTTTTAAGTAGTGAAGTATATGATTTTGTGCTCTAGAATTGCCACTGGCGAGTGGTAGTGTGTTAGGATGTTTTTGAAAAAAAAATAATAAATAAAAAATAAAACAGTCAATCTCATACAACCTACACACTCTTTCTCTTCTTTCATCTTGCTAAGCTACCGGTGACCCATCATCGGTGCACACCCTTACCACCCACTACGAGGCGATGTTCAGCTCATGTTAAGAGCTTGGCGAGTGGGTTTGGCGCACCCACTCCGTGTAGTCTTACAAAAATGGAATAAAAATTTGGATTTATTTTAATGGAAAAAAGCATTATTATTTCTTTTCACAAAATGTATCAACTCTTTTCTTATCATTTTCCGATAAAACACATGTAGTAAACTAGTAAAAGCATTTTAAAATTTATTTAAAGAAGTTTGATACACACTTTGCTTCTTCTGAACAATTTATTTGTATTTGTTTCCTAAATAATTTATTTGAATCCTTTCGACATTCTTCTGAATTCTGAGTGTAGAAACCATAAGGACTCGGTGATGTCAAAATGATCTACACAAACAAAAGGGTTCTTCGTTATCTTACTAAAGGTGACGGCTTTTTTCTATCCTCTTCTTCCTCATACCTCTGGATTCTTCCTCATCGTTCTCCGCATGATGGCGATACTGGATCAAGATACCTTTCGCATCAAAAGATTTTGTTTCTAAGAAATAATTCCACAGTTGCCCAAATCACTAAGCTCAACGACGCCCTCCATCTGTTTGATCAAATGCTTCACAGGCAACCTCGACCATCAATCTTCGAATTTACCAAGCTGATCACTGTTATTGCCAAGATGGAGCATTACTCAACTGCGCTTTCTCTTTTTAAGCAAATAAATTTAATGGGTATTCCGACTGATCTATTTGCAATCAACATCTGTATCAACTGCCATTGCCACCTTAACCAAGTGAAGTATGGTTTTGCTTTACTAGCCACCATCGTAAAGCAAGGGCATCCACCCAATGTGACCACCCACAGCACTCTCATAAACGGGCTAGTTCTAACGGATCATGTTTTTGAAGCTGTTGAATTATTCGAGAAACTGCTCAGAGAGAAGCTTTGTGAACCTAATCAAGTTATGTATGGAACTGTTATCAACGGGCTTTGTAAAGTAGGCCACTGTAGCAGGGCTCTTGAATTGCTCAAGTTCATGGAAGCAAGCTCATGTAAACCCTATGTAGCACAATACAACACAATCATCGATAGCCTCTGCAAAGACAACATGATTGATGATGCACTCCAACTGCTTGCCAAAATGACTGAAAAAGGCATCCTTCCAAATATTTACACCTACACCTCCTTGATTCATAGTCTATGCAACTTTGAACGTGAGAACGAGGCTGCAAGAATGTTGAGAGATATGGAGGAACAAGGAATCTTTCCTGGGGTGCATATATTTACAATCTTGGTAAATACCTTTTGCAAGAAAGGATCTGTAAAAGATGCTGAAAATGTCGTGCAATCCATGGTTCAAAGAGGTGTGGATCCGAATGTAGTCACTTATAGTGCACTAATTGATGGATATTGTTTATGTGGTGAAGTAGAAGAAGCTCATAAAGTTCTTGATCGAATGGTGGAAAGAGATCTTGTACCTAATATAGTCACTTATGGAAGCTTGATAAACGGGTACTGCAAAAAGAAGCAAATTAATGAGGCCATGAAACTTTTTCGAGAAATCCAAAACAAGGGTTTGATTCCTAATGTTGTAACTTACAATAGTATTCTACAAGGTTTGTTTCATACGGGTAACTGTAAAATGGGTAGGGAATTCTTTAATGAGATGCAAATGAAGGGCAAGACTCCTGATATATGTACTTATAGAATCTTGTTCCATGGAATGTGCAAGAACTCTGAGTGTTCTGATGCGTTGGATCTTTTTCGTTCTATGGGAAGATCAAGGTGTGAATTGATGAAAGATGTTGCTTTGTATAATATTTTGATTGATGGTTGTAGTAAATGTGGGAAATTGGATTTGGCAATGGATTTGTTTGATGAAATTTCTTTGAAAGGATTGAAGCCAAATGTTTGGAGTTATACGATCATGATACGTGTACATTGCCAAAAAGGGTTATTTGTTGAAGCGAAAGAAATGCTTATGAAAATGGAAGAGAATGGTTGTTTGCCAAATAGTGTGACGTATAATGTTATAGTTCAAGAGTTTTTGAAGCAAAATGAATGTAGAGAAACTGAGGTTCTTTTGGAGGAAATGGTTAACAGAGGTTTCTCCCCTGATTCTACTACTTTTTCCATGTTACTAAGCTTAATCACGAAGGTGGGCCAAGATTCTCCAATCCTTGTTTCTATTCAGAAGCTCAAAGGCATTAAAAGGAGAGATGATAGAATGGCATTTTCTTGAACTTGATTTGCTAAATCGCTAAATTCCAACTTACTTTAGGGTTCTTGTTGGAATGCTTAATAGTTAGTATGTGCAAAGATTGTGTTATATGCTTTAGAATGATTTGGGTATGTGTCGTTATCCTGTTTTAATTACAGATTTATGTCAAAGACATGTTAGGATATTGATAAAGTTAACTATCTAGTGACGTTCAATAATTTACATATTATTCTAAATCTTAGAAGTAGGAATAGCTAGTGGTATTGGTTTTGTAAAAGTGTTCAATAAAATAACGATAGAGACATAAATATAATATAGTTCAAGCATTCCGAATCCATGAGTGTGTTGATGGTAATTGGCCCTTCTATCCAACTCAATACGTCATGTACTCTAAATTCAGAGGTTATTGATTTTAAGGTGGCATATTATTATATTTAATCAATAAACGTCTTAAAGGTTGTTGGAGCTTATTGTCAATACAAATAATCATTGATGATTACATGTTACCACTTAAGTTTATAAAATAAAAATAAAGATAAAGATAAAGTAAAAATATCGATTATATATTATTCAAAGTTTCAATTATCGTTTAAGAAATTAAATTTAAAATCTTGTTTTTAAATTTATGACAATGGAAAATTTTGGTAAAGGGCGAGGAAACGGAAACGGTCATTGTGTAGGACGTTGACAAACCGAGAGGACGGTTTTGGTAATTATCGACGGAGTTTATATTCATCGCACAAAACTTATTCTTCGTTATGGAAGTTTACATGGAATTTACTTCCCCGTTTCTTCCTTGTAATGGCGGCCGGTTTATTGTACCCGGCTTTATCCATCACCTAACCACCTAACTCCTCAAAAACGTGTCTAAAATCCCACATTGCCACGTATCCATAAAATCCACGTGGCACTTGAACTGAAAGCCTTACTGGCCTATTATATAAAGCCTCCCTTCAATAGCTTCAAGCATTAATTAACTACTCAGATGGAGGCTTGTGTTTGTATCTCCAGCCTGCATGCACCCCAGCCCCCACAGCTACAAATCTCAAACTTCGTTTCTCAACCAGGAAAACACCACCGGAGGTTGAACCTCCGGCAAGGTTTCCGGCGACAGAAGGGGCGTGTGAAGAGTGGTGGAGGAGATTGGAAGATGAGGCCAGCGAGCAAACGAAAGGAGGAGACGAGTGAAGACAAATGGGATAGGGCTGTGGAGGAAAGCAAAGAAGATGACAATGTAAATGAAGAGGTTGAGTTAATGGAGATGGAAGCGATCATGGGGGAAGATGATGGAAAAGAACCAATGGATTATAAAAGAAGAGCAGGAATTTTCTACAAGAGCTCACAAATGTTTCAAGCAATCAAGGATAAACAACATCATCATTGTGCCTAAAAATGTAATGCATGGATCACCAAACTTTTACATGTATCATTACATAATTGTATTTGTATGTCACTTCCTATTTGGAAACAGTGTTTTAAAACATGCAATAAAATCTAGTGCATACCATGGCTCCGATTACTTAATAAAGAAATAGTATTGAATTTTTTATTTAGTAATGTTTTTTTAGATAGATGCAAGTCATGCAACCCTTCCACCGAGTAACTTCATCTATACACACACACACACGTACACAGCATCATTATTAACCCCATGATCTTTATCGAACCTCAAGGACTTTTATCGAACACCTTCCGTGCGTAATTGACAAGTCCACTTAAGGCCCTACACTTCTTTGCAAGTCACAAAAAGAACTTACACATATGAAACAGCAAAAAAAAAAAAAAAAACATGTATAAACACAACAAATTGAAGAAGACATATTACAAAAACAAAAAGCAGTAAGGGAACGAAGAATGAGAATAAAGTTTGTTTATGGAGGGAGGTACAAGGATACAAAGTACAAACTAAATGTCTGTATGGTAAAACCTAACACAACGGCCTCGTATAACATAAAAGGCACGGTCGAACACCTACATCTTACAATAATCAAGAAAAAAATATATTTCTAAAAAGAAAAAACTGAAAACATTAAATCTTACCTGACAAATGGCTGATTCCATTAACAGAACTTCCAGTGATTATCGCAGTTTACACAGGTGACAAAAGTGGTCATGGGTTCATCAGCACTCCGAGTCTGCAACTGGTAATAAGTGCACTTCCGTTTCCCACATCTCCCACATCTGAACTGATCTGTGGTGGCTTTTGGTGGGGCCCCACGTTCACACTCCATTAAAGCTTTCTCTTTTATTTTCACATTCTCCATTTGTCTTTCAGTGCTCGCCATCTCTTCAGGTGTCAGTTCAAGAACCCTTTCTGGTTTCACATGCCCAAGCAACACTTTCCTTCTGAAATCAGGGTTTTTAGGATCTTTAATATTGAACATGATCGATCTGTATTTGAACTTTTGTGCCCCATTTGATCTCCCCCATTTTTCAAACATTGCAGACTCCACTGACACAGCGACTCTGTAAGGATCTGAAGCTTCCACTTCATCTCTTAATTCATCTTCAACTTCACCAGAAACTTTGCATAATGCCTCTGAAAGAAGCTCACGGATTTTGTCTCGTACAGGATCCTTGCAGTAAACAAGGGAAGTTAGTTTTGGTGGGGCCATGACATTATTTGGTTTTGGTCGCATGTTTTCTTCTTTGGTGACACTGACAGTGTGTTCTTGCTTTTCAACCTTAAGAATGTTGACTTTTTTGTCTTGCGTGCTGCTATGAACATGTTTCTCAATCTTGATACTTTCAGTCTTTGAGACGTTCTCGATCTTGATGGAGTTTGATTTCTGGATTTTCTTGTTGGAAGCCTCTGCTCCATTTTCAGATTTTATGATGTCTGAACTTCCGTTCTTCTTGTTCTTTAATGTTTCTTCAACGATTATGTTTTTCCATATCTCAACCATTTCAGCAGCTAATGACTGAATCTTCTTTCTGGGGTGTTTTGTTAGTTGGCGAAGCCGCTTCCCCACCTGAAACAAACAAAATATTTACAAAAAGAAAGTCTTCAGATTTTGTAAATTGAATTTGTTTCAAATGCAATTTGTTTCATTACTACTGCATATGTTGAAAGCTTGAGACTTTGAATGTGAACTTCCCATATCAGCATAGCAATTTAAGAATACAGAAAAAGCTGTATACCAGCAAGAACTCAGAATTCACAACAGTGTGCTTCCCTAATCAACATAAGCAAAGGAAGGTAGCTAATTTTCAAATTAGGTTACTAGAATTAACAATAACACAGTCTTCTATCTTCTTCCATGAAAGATAAATTAAAAACCTCCAAAACCAGTTTTCTTACGGTGCTTAAGCTTCTGAAGTTTGGGCTTCAAAGTGAAACCTAATTAACAAGCCATATACTTTCTCCTGACTTGATTTTTTTTACTCGGTGTCTCGAAAATTGTACTTCTTCTCTTTGTTGCAGTTGAATATCTGCCTTATCTTTTCGTTGAATTAGAAATCCATAGCTTCTCAAGTGTTTTACGTTTTGAAAGTGTCAACAATTTTAAGAATGCCAATGGTCGGAAGTATGGAAAAGGATTCGAAATGTCAAAAACCTAGGTTTTCAAAAGCGAAATCATAATTCGCCCCAAAAATTAGAAAACAACCACACATATTCACATCCGTGATATACAATCTCGATTAACAGTACAAAACCAAAACAAATTTACTGTACTTGATGAGAGAACATAATTTACCTGCGTGGAAACGAGAACTTGATAGTTAACAGGGAATTTTTTAAGGGCTTTCAAGGCGTCTATACAACGATCTTCCTCCGGAGAAGAATCTGCACCGGCGCCGTCAACAGCCGCAGCGTCTGCCGCTTTCTTGGCCGCCTCGAATAGCTCTTTCAGCTCCGCCTCCATCGTCTACCTCAAAGAGAAAGAGATCGCTTCAAAATCAAAACTAACAGAAGAGAAAAAGAGAGCAACAGAACCGTCCGGTTAAGAGTTTTGATGAAGCCGAAAAGGATACGGAGGAAATCTTGACCGTTCTTCTGCTCCTGGGAAAATTTAATCGTGCGGTACATGAGTAAGCGTTGAAGATTTTGTCCGGGTTTTGACGGCTTAACAGTAACTAGATTTTAGAGTAATTATTTTTTAGAGAAAAAAGTTAATTTAATAAAAATATTAATCAATTTCCAAAATTTAAACAAAAAGTTAAGTTTTTCCTTCAAAACTAATAAATTTTACAGGTTCAACCTAAGAAATAGTTGTTGGACATATGAAAGAAATCAAAAACCACATGTTTTGGAATAGAATTGACCTGTAAATTGACATGTTTGACCAACGAACTAGCATGTTTGACCGGAAAAATGTCTAAAATATTTTAAAAAAAAATTAACTTGTGAAATTATTGTTCACTTTTCATATTTTTATGAAAATAATACTTTTTTTTTAAGTTTTTTATTGGGAATCCTCGTAGAATATTTCACATCAAAATAGAAGTTTATGTTGATAAAACGAAGTTCTAAGTGAGGTTTGACCTGCAAATTCGTAGGCTTGACCTGCGCAAATGTCCAAAACAATGAGGCATTGAAAAAAAAACGTAGTTAGACCTATGCAAATTTACCGTTCTACAAAATTTTCATATTTTTACCAAAAATGATTTTATGCTAAAAACATTTTTTTGAAGTACGAATCTTCTAAGACCATTTTCACACCAAACTATCCAAAACAATTTAGAAATAGCATTAAACTAAATAAATGTTAAAAGGTAACACTTTTTTTACAAAATAATAATAATAATAATAATAATAATAATAAATAAATAAAACCATTGAAACAGGAAAAACCTACTATTCTCAGTTACAATGGTCTTTTTAAAAACAAAAATTAAAGTTTGTTACCTTCTAACAACATTTATTTAGTTCAATGGTATTTTAAACTATTCTAAATAGTTTGTTACCCATTTATTTCATTATCCCCTAATAAAGTTATAAAACATCTAAGTACTCACCCGTGATAGTGGTGAAACAGATGAGCGGATAAGCATATAGTAGCAATAACAGAACCACATTTTACCAAAAGAGGCAACTAACTTTGAACTTGAACTTGAGCTTTGATGACTATTAACTAATTATGAAATCCCCACAACATGAACGGGTGTAAAATAGCCCAATCACCAAACAAGAAACATCAGACAGGGGCTTGAATCAAGAACAACCATGAAAATGAACTTACATATGTATTGCATAAAAATATGTTAATTTGTGTCAGGTTATCACAGTCCAAATCAACGTATTACAACATATGATGGACAAATTTGGTAATAAGAAACAGTTTGAAGTAGAATGTTGTAATTAGGAAAAAGAAAATGCAATATTATAATAAGGAAAAACTAGAAACTGTATCACTAATATTATTTCTTGCATTTGCTCCTAAAAACAAACAAAATATGATAGAATACATAAAGCAACCAACATGTCAGTTTTCCTGTTAAGTTGTTTTTATATTAAATAAATTAGAGAGAAAATGTGAAAATGAAACTAAACTAAAACTCAATATGGAGTGTAGAGAGTTCACTTCAACCTATAGTAACTATCTAAGCTAATAAGTTATATTTACTGAGAGAGATAACTAGAGTATAGACGCGCCTATGATGGGCCCCGCCCTGCTTCATCGGCTTTTTTGGTCTGGTCCATGAGCCTCCTCTCGGCGGCTATAGCAGCGGCGACACCTGGCGGCAAATGCATTAAATCTGAATCCGTGTTGTGTTGTTGGATTGTTGATGGAGCAACTTTGAAAAGAGACTCAACATCTTTGAGTGTGAAAACAGGCTGATCTTGGTTCCTTTTGTTTCCGCTTATAAAGGAACCACCATCTTTGCTTTTATTCAGTTTATATAAGCTTTCTTCCACTGTGTCCTTCACCTGTAGTACAATATTATTTTATTAATCAAGATTCAAAAAAATTGACAGAACAGAAGAGATTGTACTGGGACTGAGACTGATGTCAATGTGAACAGATAAACAAGGTAATATTTTGTGGTTAAAAGGCGTACTATGAAACGATGAACGAGTGTCTTTTTGGTCTGTCCAATGCGGTGCACCCTGCTGATGGCTTGTGCTTCTGCTGCGGGGTTGAGTAGCGGCTCTACAAGAATAACATGTTGTGCTTCCAAAAGATTAAGCCCATTCGCCCCATGCTGAATCAATAGCAGCATTACTTGAATGGAATTTCTTTCTCTCTGCTTCATTTTCATTTTCATTTTCTTATTCACACCATCTTTCGCATCAACTTTCTCTCCTTTAAATTCACTGATAGCAACTTGTGATTTCCTGAAAAAGTCATTTCCCGCAGATAAAATCAGCAACAATTTCAGCACTCACAAGTATGGTGCTATGTTAGGGTACATGACATAACAGAACAGGTTGTACTGCGTATAAAGTAAACGTACCTTCCTCCTTTCATTCTGATAAAACTAATATCATTAGCTGTAAAAGCATGTTCCAGTACGTCAAGAACATCATTCCAACTTGAGAAAACAAGAATTTTGTCTGTTGGATTCGTGGAACCGATACACAGTATTCTCCTTGTCACTGCTGCAATCTACAAAAAGAAATCATCAACAGTAACCTAAAAGCATTAAATAAAAATGTATACTATATACCTTGGTGCTATATGAACCGTTGACAGTCACAGAAGCTTCTGAGGTTTTAAAAGCAGTAACAGAAACATCAGGCAGTTTTTGCTCATCATCAACAAAAGCAACGTTCCCATATTCTGTGGGTTGTCTACATTTTGGACACATCATCCATTTCTTATCAGCCTGACTCATCCCCCTCTCGCTCATTCCAATAAAACCTGCACATTTATGATTTAACAACATATTACTTTAATGTACAACATGAAACAGAACCAATCAACAAATTAAACACTATACTTACATTTACAACATGTAAGATGCCCACACTGAAAAACCATCTTCTGAGTGGTGATCTTATCTTGACAAACAGGACACATGTCATCACCTAATCCCTCTTTAACCGAGTTAGTATTAGAATTCATCATAACTTCATGATATGGATCATCAACAGTTTGTTTAGACTGTACCAAACCCTTCAAATACCGAAGTTGCCCTTTCACACGCAATAACGAGGATAAAGCAACAAACTTTTCACTCGAATTTTCAACGTTTGCTGTTTCTAGCTCTTCCAGACTCAAAGCATCAATGGATTTATCATCCTCACTTTCTCTAAGGCGTAATCGTGAGGTTGCCATTGATATCTCATCATGAGCATTAAGCACTTGAGCTTGAGCAAGTGCCAAGGATCTTGCATGACCATACTCCTTACGCATTCCCTTAAAATAGTAATACAAAAAAGGACAAAATGTTGGGTAGTCAGCCTTTTGTTATAAAGACAAACAAAAAATGGAATCCCTTGACCCTTACCTCAAGAAGAGATAGATGCTTTCTGGCTGCTGACATGGCTTCTTTACCTAATTGAGCCTTCGAATAGCTCTTTATAACCCCAAGAACAACTTCCAGCTCTGAAGGAGATTTAGAAACCTGTTCATATGAAAAAAATAATATGTAATATGATTGATGATTGATGATGGCTGTGCATGTATGTAGATATATGTATTACTCACCATAACTTTCTCCCCAACATCCCTTTTCTTCCCTTCATCTTCATTACTTGATGGTGGTGGAGCTTTGTCAGGCTGTGACAAAGTCCAATAGAACCGATTTAAAGCAAACACTTTTTTCCTTAAATCAACCGCCTCGTCAGCAGATGAAATCACCCCTCCACCATGTCCTTTGTTAAATCGAAACAGCCTCGCCTCATATGCCTGCAATAAGCAAAAAGAGATCAAGTTGCCTTAACAAAATGTACCATTTTTAAAATCAGGTGAAAGAAATTTTTAATAAGATTAAAAACCTGAAATAACTCGTCTAGTTCACAGTGTACACATATGAGCCCCTCTCCATTGACCTGGCACTTTGGACAGTATCTCACACGTTCTACATCCTCTATACTTGGATTCTCCATGCTCTGGTCAACTTCCAACAGTCTATCCAGCAAAGTCCTTCTAGAATCTTCCAATTTTTCCAGACCACTCTGGATATGATACTTAAGAGCAGTTATGCTCTGAAACCTGAATTATAAAATAAAATATTAAGGTCTATTAAAATTAAACACGCAGAAAATGAACATAAACTATTACAAACCGGGATGCAAGTCTTGATGTTCTAGAAGTGTTAAGAGTCTCAGAGACAGCATCTCCTATCTTTCTGATGAAATCAGTAGAAGAATCTTTATTTTGCTCAATATATTGCAGAGCTTCAGCCCACCAAGCAGTATGCTGGTGTCTTCTATCTTTAAGTCCATTACTAACCTTGAAAAAGGTTTAAGAAGAAACACATGACAGATTTATGAATGATTCAGAAATTCTAAATGTTACATTTTTTTTTAAAGTAAGGTTGGAGGAACTACCAGGTCATATGATTTCCTGAATTCCAGCTGAGCCATGGACAATCTTGAATTGAAAACAGACAAAAACTTTTGCTTTAAATTGTTGCATGTGATCTGCAAAGATTGGTAACTGGTACAACTGGATAGAGAAAACGGTCTATCCTCGTCACATGTCTTGCACATGTTACCTTCACAACTTCCAGAATTCTGTTCACCTGAATTAAACTTTTGTATAGAGTTGGTGGTCAAAGGGAGTATCTCAGCAAGATTATAATGTATGTGAATGTTTAACAGAGGGTCGATTCTGAAATCTTCTGAATGCTCTTCTGCTAATTCAAGTGCTTCTTTATATAAGGATATAGCTTGAGGAAAATCTTGTTTAATAATAGCTATCCCTGCAAGTCCATTCAATGCAACAACCAACTTCCTCAGGGCTTCCTCCCCTTCTACTTTAGTCTTACCTACAAGAACCTAGGGGAATGTAAAGCTGGTTAGAAGATAAACAACACAATAAGAATTAAAAAAAAATAATAAAAGAAAAACCAACCATTAATATCTCCTCCATTGTCATGGGAGACTGCTGCAGTGAACGCACGCCTGAACTTCCCACTTGAGGATGACAACATGCTTGCCTTAGCTTCAAGAGGGAGTTCAAAAGTTTTGCAGCCTCCACATGTGTAAGGAAAGAATCCGATGATGAATCATTTCCTGAAGCTTGTTCTTCAGGAATACTAGTTTTGAAACTTTGGATGACTTCCCTAGCATATGTGAGACAGGTCTCGTGTTGCCTCTGATAAAAGTGTTCCTCAATTGGTGTGAGGGATAGCCAAGTGAGACATTCTTCTTGTGGAGGAAGGTGCAACTCTTCAGCAACATGTGATTTTGAGGATCTCCACATTATTTGTTTAAAGAGATTGTGAGTATATTCTACAGCCCCTGCATCTCCCATCTGTGAATGTAAAAACAAAAACATGATTGCAGATCCCACATATTAGTTAAATCGTTTTTTATGATGGTGTAACTGTTAAGTTAGTTATTACCTCATAAGGATTCCTAATAGCATCAACCCACCACTTGAAAACATCATAAGGAGTTGCTTTAAGAAACCTTAAGAGCCCAAATAAGTCATCCAGCTTTTTTTGTATTGGGGTTCCTGTAACGCACCAACGATGCATACAAGGTAAGCGCATTGCCATTTCTGTTGCAGCAGCAGCATTACTCTCCACCATTTGAGCCTCATCTAAACAAATCCTCCACCAGAATATTCGAGTCAGAAAAGTTGGAATCACAGGGTACTTCTTCTGGTATCTCAAAAGTCGCCTATCCCCTATATTCCTTTCAGAATCATGAGATAAGTCTTGTTTCAGCACATCATATGTTGTTAACACAATGTCAGCAGTAATCAGTTCATCAATTTTCGTAACAGATGTGGTATTATAAAGTGAAGTTGTTTTTACTCCTTCATACACAACAACTTTTAGTGAGCCTGGACTTGTATGACTGCAAAAAGAAATAAACCATTTAGCATGCATATATACAATAAAGCTGAATCAATAAATAGTAGTTGTAGTTGTAGTTGTAGTTTACCGAGTTATTTCAGCATGCCACTGTGGCAATATTGGTGCTGGACATACTACAAGAGTTGCACCAGTAGGAACAGGGGAACCGGTTGCTTGACTCAGTTCTAAGCAAAATGGACAAATGTGGGCCCCATCACAGATAACGACTTTGGAGCCTTTATAACTTTTGCGTTTTCTTGAATCACCATTCAGACTTTCTGAATCTTTTATTGGTTCTGAATTTGTTTCTTTATATTGATAGCCTACACAATCTGCATGTTTGCCAAGCATCACAGACATCACATTGTACCCATAAACCTTTATACTTTGAGCTTTCACTTACAGCCCCACATACACATTCAACTCGTTCTTTCTTCATTCTTTTGATGTTAGATTTCTGCTCTCCAGCAACTTGTATTGTCTTGTTTCCTTATATCATCAGCATCTATGTCCGATTTTCTATGTGCAAATATACAAGCAAGTAGCTCAATGGTTTTCCCTAGACCCATTTCATCTGTTGTTGTCATAGAAACACATCAGTAAAAACATCAAAAAAGATATATGAAAGATTAGAAAGACTAACCTGCAAGAATGCCACCAACAACATAAGATGAACAGTTCTCAAGATTCGTTGAAACACTTCCGTTAAATGAATTGTAATATATTTTAGAGCAGGAATCAACTAAATCCACAGGGACACATAGGGGCGAAACAGATTGACTTTGTTGACTTTCTCTCAGATGTCTGAAAGTTCCTTTCTCACGTTGAACCATCCAGAAAGCTGCACGCCTTTGATATGGTCTAAGCTCAGGGAGCAAGTCAGGCATGTCATCCATTAGCATCGGGTTATCCCTGCAATTTTATTATTAAAATAAATAAACATATAAACCATAACCATAATCATCTATGACTATGCACACTCACTTTGAGGGTTTTATTGCTTCATAAAAACCAGATACATCGAACCTGTATCCTTTCCTATTTTCATTTAGTTGTAAGCCAATCTCCATGTCTTCAGGTACCTTATATCCATATCTAGCCTCTGAGGTAGTTACTTCAGGGCGTAGCCAAGCCATGACATTCATCATACTCTTCTTCCATATCTGCCTTGTAGTCCCAAAAAATGACTCAGAACCCTCGAATGTACACTTTTGTATCTCTACTCTTAATCTAATAGATGACAAATTCCCTGAAAAAGTCAACCCTGTAGTAGGCCTCAAAGTCAAAAACTTCATACTAACCAAGTGAACAAGCCCTGAAACACCTTCACTAGGCCCATCAAAATTTCCTGTTACCATCACATGTGCTTCCATGTCCACTCGCTTCTCAATGAATTCCAGATAGATATCAGAAGTAGATAAGACAGGGATATGCAATGGTTTTATTACATCGTTCAACCGAAACCTAAAGTTATACTTTTCTTCATTGATAAAATCTTGATCCTCGTATTTTCTATCATAACACTCTTCACTTACATTCAAATTTGTCAGAACCACTTCTGAGATGTCATAATGCTCTGTTGACACCCAGTTATCCCTATCAACTTCGATGAAAAATGAATTGTTGTGACTAGAAAGCTCATTTTTTAAAGCATGGGATGTGTCTGGATTGCAAAAATCCTCTTTAGAAACACCATTGTTGCCAACAGTAGCCTGTGCCCTACGAGGCTGAGTTTGCTTTCTTCTACCCATCACACCAGACACATTACTCGCAAAGTGGCATTTGATTGAGGAGAAAGTTATGGATTTCTCATGGAAGAAAGGTAGAAGCTTTCTCTAGGGTTCATCTACCAACTTTGAATCTGAATTAAATAGACTATAACCGTAAGTAAGTAACAAGTTTGATATCCAGAAACTCTGAATAGATTCTCATTCATCACAAAAGAAATAGATAAAACTCACAACAACTTAATTAAAGCCAGCAGGTGAAGCTTTGTACTACATTATAAAGCTCATAATAACTTCATATTCAATTTTTTACAACCTAGCCCGTATGATGGTTCAATTCAAAAAGAAATAGCTACATTGAGTTTTCTTGTCAAACTCAAAGAAGGTATACTATACTACTATAGAAATGCAAAACTTAAATACATTTGGTACTAACCATGAAATTCAATATAATTGGTATGCTTCGCTGAATAATACAAATTAATGAACTTTAAAGTGGAACACTAACAAGTTTGACATCCAAATGTAAAATAGAACTTAATATCCCTGTAGCATTTTGAATAAACTTGTCACGGAAAGTTCAAGCAACTTCGTGATCAACTTCTAACAGCTTAACTCCTACTGTCCTACATGACTTGTCGACATCTATTCAAATTAGTGAGAAAGAAAAAAGATACGTAGAATATGTTTTGTATCCGAACCTGGAGAGTTGGCACACAATTGAGGAATCAATAAAGCTCTCAAAGGACACTTCTGATAAGATGGAAGAATTTGCTCCGTCGATTCTATAGGTTTACGTGGGCGGTGCAACCGCGACGGAGAGCCACTACGAACGAAGACGGGTGAGAACTGAGAACTGATACCGGGTTACCCGATTATGTGCTGATCGTTTTCTCTTGGAAATTATGTATTCAATTGGATCCTGTGTTTTTGAAAGGTAATCTAGTCTCAATTTAACAAAATCAAAGACCATTAATAGATTATTTTTTGGAAATGGGGAAATTTCATTTCCAACGCTAAATATATATATCAAAAATATTATATCTCATTATTTTATTAATACCTATCTTTAATTAAATTGTTTTTCTAATTGTTAAACTTTTTAAAGGATTTTTTTATTAATTTAACTATTTCAATCCTTATCTATATAAAATGTTATATAAAACTCACTTGTTTAACTAATCGTTTTATAAACATGTGGAATTTTGATATAAGCATCCACTCACATACAAACGATTCACATGTTACTATACTATATATTTATTCATCTATAAAATTTAGATAAATAATAAATACTTAAAACTAAATCAATGAGATAAAATGATATGTTATTAAAGAGAAAATGGTGATTGTTCAAACTATTAAATTAGTATGTTATAATCCGTGGGAACCACAGTTACAAAAATAATAAATTTTTTATAGTAAAGCTTATAATTATTAATCAATTATTTTTCAATAAATTATTAATTAAATATGATTTTGTAGGATTTTCAATATATAAATACAATTAATTATTGTCAATCATAACTGAAACTTATTCAATGCGAATTTAAATTTCTCCTAAAAATCAGAGATCAAATAAATACAGAGTAATTGTCTAACTTATTATCAACATCAATACTTTTTAAAAAATAAAAAATGAGAGAAAATAACAAGTGTTATTTTTATAGAGCATTTGAAAAGAAAAACGTGAATTATGAGAAAAATGACAAATGACACTAATAACTAGGGGTGAGCAAAAACCGCACCGCAACTAAAATTAACCACAACCGATAAACCGCAACCGCAATAAAAAACCGATGGTGAGGTTTTCTGTTTTTCAAAAACCGCAAATTTGCGGTGCGGTGCGGTTATTAGTTTTCAAAAACCGCACCGCACCGTACCCTATATATTATATACAATTTTTTTATTAATTATTAATATATTAAATATTAAAAATAAAACAAGTTTAATGGATGAAAGAAGGATAAAATTCTAGAAGACAAAAATATTGATTTTTTTTATGTTTAACTTTGGAAAATGGTGAAATTTGACAATTTAAAGATATTTATTGTTAATTACTACTGATTTGACATTTTTAAGATATTAGTTGTTTGTAATTTAACTTAATTGTCTTATACTATATATTTTTTTATTATTACAAGTAATATGTTTTAATTATTAAAACTGTTTGAACTCTAAACCGCGGTTAAAAACCACACAAAATAATCGCATCAAATCCATGCGGTTAATAACCGAAACACTAAAAAACAAAACCGCACCGCAAAAATAACCGCCTAACCGCACCAAGCGGTTTTGAAAATGGATTAACCGCATTTGCGGTTAGTGGTGAGGTTTTGGCCAATAACCGCACCGAACCGCACCGCGTTCACCCCCTACTAATAATTATTCTTTTATTAGTATATGAAGATATTAACCACTCAATATATACTAAGTGGTCAATAAAAATTAGCAAAAAAATTATATTCTCCAATGGTGTTTAGTTATTTGGACCACCCAACCAAATAATAATAGGCTATAAAAACCTTGCGTTGGAGATGCTCTCATATCTTCTATATTTTAAGTACTATATTCTAAAATTTTAAAATTATGTATACATCATTGTAAAACTTGTAATATTTACATCTATATTCAAATTCATATTTTAACTAAAATTAAAATAATATAATTATCTAAATTCAAAATTATATATAAAACATAATACTACTAAAATACCCCTCCTACATACAAGAAGACATTGTGTCATCATACAATCTCTATATATGTCATTATATCCATGAATGAAGGGTTAAGACTATTTCGATTAAGACAAAATCTTTAATAAATGCTACTCTTTCAACATTTATGTTTGAACGCCTTATTTTTACATCTATTATTACGTTAAGATAAAAGTCCATACTAGGTTTGTATTTGTATATTTGCATTGGTGTGTCATATGTTAAGACGTGAAGATTTGATGGTGGTTTAGTGGAAGATATAGGATTTAAAGTTTAAAAATGATTTTTATTTCATAAGTCCCAACAAACAAGAACTTCTATGTATGATACCTGATGCATCAAGGTTTTGTTTTAATTTTAGTTGATATGATTTGTACCTTAACTTGTGCATCAAATATAACTTTCTCTAAATTTTCCTCTTTGGACTCTTGAAAAATCGTAAATATATAAAATATTCACCTCTAACAAATCTTTTAACTTTAAACAATCAATTGTGATAAAACATTAGATGTTTATCATTTCTTAATAGTGATGATAATATAGAAATTAGATATGTGGCATTTGGAAGGGAATTTTAGTAATATTATATATAATTTTAAATTGCAGATAAGTTTTTTTATATCATATTAATTTAATTTTAATTAAATTATAAGTTTGAATATAGACGTAAATATTATAGTTTTATAATGACATATACCTAATTTTAAAATTTATAACGATGCTGACATAATATTTAAAGGTTAGAAAGATATGCATGGAATTTTTCCTATAAAAATATTATTTAGAAAACCATTATATTAAATTTATATTCGTTAACCTATTATAATTTCAAACCTTTTATTAAAAAAATCATTAATGATATACTATAAACATTAGTTGTTATCATTAAATATAAACATATATAATTTTTTTTAATAAAATCATTAAATTTTGAATTTATTTTCAAAATATTATTATTATTAGAGAAAAAGACAAATAATGATAATCTCATTTAATATTTTCTAAGATTTAATAAAAAAATAACAGGTTTACCAAAATAGTCATGATTATTCGGAAATTACTATCTGCAAAAATTTATAAATTGGATTATGAAACAACCCAAGGATTTTCACATTTAAATAGACCATTTCATAAATTACTTAATGTTGACGTTTTTTCTTGCCAAGAAAGTATCAAACTCATTAACTTTGGAAAAAAAATTATAAGTTTAAATATATTCCTAAAATTCATGAATAAAATTAATGAGTATATTGTTAGAAAAAAAATAACCAAATTAGTTCACAAACCTTTTTAACAACTAATATAACTTTTTTGTGATACAAATGAAAATATGACTATGCTAGATTTATAATAGGAGTATTAGCTTAATTAACCATTTTAAAGTGACATCATTTATCTATCTAAGTTTCAATGTGTTTTAATTTTATTTCCATTTCCCCTTTTGACATGTTACTCCATATTTACTTGTTTCTATAAAGGATTGGACTAAGTTGATCATATAAGTCACATAATCTTCATCATTTTGTCATTTAAATCGAATCGGGATAATTAAGTCATTGAAAAAGAAAAAAATTACCAACTTTTTTAAAACTTATTGTAAAATATTAATAATTTTTTTTACTTATTTACAAGATAGTTATAAACCTTTTTTATAACTTTTTTTATTTGGATTACAAATTTATATATAAAAAAATTACACTTTCATATGTTTTCATAAATTGCTTTAAAAAATATTTCTAAATGTTTTAAACTTTATTTATAATTGTTTTTAATTTGTTCAGACTTTCACAAAACTGTTTTTTTTTTTTAACAATCCTTTTTAAAATTCTTTTAAAACATTTTTATAACCTTTGTTTTTAATACTTTTGTAAGTTATTTATATTTAAAAACAAAAAGCTATATAAACTTGTTCTATAGTTTTTGAATACGTTTTAAACTTGATTTATAACCTTTTAAAACTCTTTTATTTCATATAGATTTTTTAAACAAAAGTATTTCTAAATATTTTATACTTTTTTTCTATAACTTTTTTATACTTCATACAACTTTTTTTACAAGTTTGGCATAACCATTTTCAAATTTCTTTTCAACTTTTTAGAAATGTTTCATAATTTTTTTTATAACATTTTAAAGTATTTTTAAAACATGTTTATACTTTCTATAAAATGTTATAAAAGGTTAAAAAAAATCTAAACAAACGTTTGCAATTTAGAAAGAGTTGTGTAAAAAAAAGAAACAAAAGTTCTAACTTAACCTGGTTTTAATTAGAGTTTTTGAGGTTGGTTGATAATAGAAAAAAAATTGAAAATAGTTTAATCAGAGTTCTTAATGTTGATAGTGTTGAACAAAGGCTAACATTTTTACTAAGGCTTTAAATGGAAAACAAACATAAATAGTTGACTGAACATTTGTATTTGACTCATCATTTTCAATGTTAGGATTATGGGAGGGTATTAAAAGTTGTAAATAATTTTTACTAATTTTGGTCGATCCTAATTTGAAATGTTCTTAATGAGAGAAGCTTTATTCTAACTTGATCTGGTTGCATGAAGAGGCTAATTAAGTGGCTTAAAGCTAAATGGAAAAGTTAGAGTAAAACTGTTAAATTAAAGTTAAAGATGTGAGTTGCTTAAAAGATTAAGGACTAAAGTGCAAATGATAAAAGTTGAAGGTGTAATCGTGGTCTCTTCTTCATTTATAGTAATGTGGTATACAAACCATATTATCTCTCTTAGCTTCCACCTGTTCCATATTAGGGTTCATTTGTAAATCGTTTTTGTTTTATGTTTTTCACTTTTTTGTAATCAAATGACAAAGATTATCTTTCCAGTTACTGATTAGTTGTTCATTTTATTATTACATTTGTTTGTATTATCAAGATCTGATTAAGTTTGGGTCGTATGTGAGATTATTAGTGTTTCTATAGGTTTAAATTTAGATTAATAAATGATAATATTCATTAAATTTTAATAGTCAATTAAGTCAACACTTATATAAAATATGGTCGTTTTATGAGTAACTTTTAGGCTGAAAGGAGTAGGACTCGCCACCCCACTCGCTAGGCTCGCTATCCATGGTGGAACACCACCCCTAGCCCTCGCTAGGGGTGTTGCTGCCTCTTACTTGTTGCATGCTTGGGGACAAGAGAGAAAAACATTTTCTGCAATGTGATTGGTGGAAAACAAAGTAGTGGGAGGAAAGAGAAATTTGAGAAACAAAATAAGACTAATTGGTTCTTTTTTTGGTGTTTCTTTTTTCTTTTTTCTTTTTTCTAAATCAAAAGATTTTGATTGGCTCTTTTTCATTTAATTTTTTTTTTAATTTTTCTTTTCTAAAATCCAAATGTATATAAAGTTTAGGTGGCAGGTGAAAATGTGATGTGTTAAACATGTCATGACTCCCTCTAGCCTTATAATCAAGATAAAAAAAAAATACATTCTTACAATTTAGTTAAATAAAATTTAAAAAATAATAATAATAATAAAACAAATAGAAGAAATTGTATTAACCCTAAAAACGTCCAAAAAGAGTGAAAAGAAAAGAATGTGACTCATCGAGAAAATAAGGAAAAAGAAACCCGGAGAAATAACCCAACCCATCTTCGAACCCTACCAACAACTGCAGGACTGTTTCTTGTTGCACTGCGTTTTCACTACATACCTCGATTCACGGTTTATTGTTGCTGCTTGTTGGTCAAATTTGTCACCAAAATTCCAAATTAAGGTACGGAATTGTTTCTTGCTATGCATTTAATTTTGATTCTTGCTGTTATGAAATCGATTTTTTGTTGGATTTCCCCTGTTCTTGCTGTACAAAATCCAGCAACGTATGTTCCCTTTGTTTATCCCGGCAACTGAGTTTGGAACCCAAAAATGGATCAGTTAGTAGCTTATCATGGTGTTGTGTAGTTGCAGCATAGTTTGATCCTTATCATATTTTGCTGATTGAGTTCATTTGCCTGCTTTCCTTACCTCAAAGTTTCGATGTGGTACTTAATTACTTACCCGAGGGCTGAGACCCTCGACACATGCAATAGATAAGAACATCAGAACATGTCTTTGAAGTGGCCTGAATTCGTTTAACTCAAACTGCTTCCTCTTCCAGCTCGCTGTGCACTTTCTTTCAATTCTCCTGCATCTCCTAAAGTCTAAACTTGTATGTTTTTAATTAAACCTTTTTGTAATTATCACCTTAACTCTTTTGCTTTTTTGCTTGTGGGTACCTGGTAGTTAAGACTCAAGTTGCTTGAATTCCCATCCATTTTGTTTGTATTGGCTTTGATATCCTTTCTATGAAGCTTATGTTGGTGATCTGCTGTAATATCTTGAAGCAAACTCTTTGATACGGATGCTGTATTTTATCTGACATAACTAACAGATAAAATACAAAGAAAACTGAATATATTGAAAAAATAGAAACTTGAAAGTGAAAACTGGGACTAGTATCTTTCTTATTCATATGCTTTGGCTGAACCTTGAATCTTTAAAGTGTACATATATATATGTTTTTAATTTGTGTAATTGTTGGTGTAATGTAATGTGTTCATTTAATCGATTTAATGTGTTGATTTTGTTGGTTTTACACACAGAGCTCCATAATCATCTGCAAGTGTGATTAAAGTGAAAAATGGCTGCAAAAGGTGGAAGGAAGAATCTGAAGAGGGCTGTTAATGATGAGACATTAAGTCTTCAACCAGGACAAAGCATTATGCAAGTTGTTTCTCTTCGAGGCTCCAATCTAATTGAGGTTATTCATCACTTGTTCTTGGTTAAATTAAATGCATGACTGATTGATTTATAAGTGCACAGATAATTGATGCCAAAGGAGACAAAGCTTTGGCGATTTTCCCAGCTAAATTTCAGAAAAGCATGTGGATAAAACGAGGTGTGACTTCATCTTTCTAAGTTTAGCATTGTACTTTGAAAAATCTACCCAAATATAGCAGTGAAAGTACAGTGCTATTTCTTGCATTTAATCCCCATAGAAATGGTCAATTTGATGATGAATAAGTGTTGCAGGTAGTTTTGTGGTGGTTGATGATAGTGGGAGAGAAGAGGCTGTTGAGTCTGGAAGAAAAGTAGCTTGTGTTGTTCTTCAAGTCCTTTTTCATGAACAAGTTAGAGTGTTACAAAAGTCTCCAGAATGGTTAGTTTGTTTATATTATTAACTTATGATCTCAATAAAAATGCTTTATTTGTACTTTTTTTTATTAATGCAGGCCAGAAATATTTAAAACAGCCATAGTAGACACCTCTAATGGAAAGTCTGAGAAAAGCACACAGGAAAATGAGGAGTTGGAGTCTAGTGAAGATGATGGGATGCCCCCATTGGAAGCCAACACAAACAGAAGACCTGCAGAATTGCGCTCAGATACAGAGTCTGATTCTGAGATACAAGATTCTTAAGCTGTGTAATTATCATGATTCTTGTTTTCTTCTTTATTGATTATTACAGTTTTGATCTCTTTTCTTAACTACCAAAATAGAATGATTTTGAGGAACGCTTCTCTTTGCATGCTGTTTTCTTCATTTTGCAGCATGGTGTTGGGTTATGGGAGGGTCACCAAAGTCAAACATAGCATTTTTAGAGTTTTAACACTACAAATTCTTCTATTTATAATGGACATTTTGCATAATCTAAAGTATAGTTCAACTTAGGGAAAAGATTAAAGGTGGAAGCACTTTGACTTTTTATGGTTAATTTCGATTTAATTAAGAAAAAACATGACAAGCATCCAAAAAATCTACATGTCATCACTTCAATACCTGGAATATGCAAAAAAAAAAAAAAAACCCTACTATTTGGATTCAGTTTAACAAGTTGTTAACAGTTTATGGGTTGCTACAAGAAAGAAAAGTTGGTTTAATCCTGAATGATCAAATATTATTACAATTCAGTTAAGGAAATAATGTCACATTGTTCAGAATTTTGCAAGATTAATTGCTCGTTCATCTTTGATCGATGTTATGTTGTTAAGTTGATTTATGTTCTCAACAAACACACATATTTGCTTTATTTGAGCATCTGAATCAAATTTAAATATCTGATTCGATCATAGACATCTGGTTAATGAATGGGTGAGAGACATTTGAAGTTTTGAACCGTTTATGTAGCGATGAGTCGAACCGGTTTATTTAGAAAAATAAAAAATGTTAGTTTCAGTTTTACACCTAAGCCAGTAGGATTATGACACGCGGTCAAATGGTTTTCGCAAGCTGCTTACCAAAATATTTGCCCCATTTCCATTTCGAGACTGAGACATGGATGGACGATGGATCATATTTCTGTTAAGGTGAGGTGACGTAGCAATCACTTCGCAACGGAGGAGTTATTGGCAATTGGAAATCACACAATCGCCTACTGGAAATTAAGAACCAAATCGAGGGCTAGAGAATCCATGGCGTCTGTTTCTGTGTTCAGAGGCTTTGTCCATGGCCGTCGCGTTCCTCTTTTCCCACACCAGTCCCAGGTTTTAAGTGTATAATACGTTGATTATATTCGCAACTGTGTGATTAAATAGTTGAGTTGTGTGGTGTACTTTGGGGTAGCTTAACTCTAATTAGAATTTCTTTCCACCGCTTTTCAAACCGATTGCATTACATGCGCAACTTGGGGTAACTGAGCTTTAGTTTTCACTCGGTCGAGTTCCTCCCTTCATTAGAAATTATTTGCACGAATTTTCACATCGATTTGTGCTCAATTCCTAATTACAATCATTGCAAGCATATCGTGTTGCGAAAAATATTAGACATCATAATCTTTAGACGAATTGAATCTCCATCAATCAAATTACACACTCTTACTAATTGATTGCTCAGCTATACCTACTCTAAACTTAATAAAGACCTATTCGCTTAACTGAGAGTAAAACATGCTCTTTTCACCAATAGGATCCTACTGATTTAACAGTTAGGTTTTGTTTGTGACAGCCTATGTCCTTTTAATGAATTTGTGAGGCAAATATATATGGCTAACAAGTTTTAAAGATGTTAAGATGTGATTTACATAGTTATATATTTGCTTGTTTTAACTATGTTATAGGTATTTACTACTGAGAAGAAAATTAATATGTTCTTTTTGTCTTTTGGATCAGTTTGAATATCTAAACTTACTTTGCATGCAGTGGGAAGTTTAGGTTGATCTTATGAGAAAGAATAAAATGACATTTGAAGATTGAAATTAAGTGTGTGTGTGTGTGTATGCAACACTACTCTAGTTTGCAGATTAATAATATATTTGCCTTTCACTCCCAGTTACCTGTTACAAGCATATTGATTGGCTCAAAGAAGCTTGAGTATCGATCTAATGGGTTGAGACTCTATGCAAGATATTCAGAGTCACAATCAGCACGAACACAAGATCTTTTTACTTCTCGACTTCAAGGTACTTCAGTTTTGGTTCTTCTTATATCTTACACAAATACACTTCTAGCTTCTTAATTAGTGCTAGCAACTTCCATCATTCTATATGATGCTATACTGAAATAATCAGCAAGTAAAAGTAAAAAATTAACCTTTTTCCCCTTTCAGAAAGTATGGAGAAGTTGCCAAAACTTGTGGAGGATATTGTCCAGACATCTATCAATACAGGTCCTCGTGGAGCTGTAAGACTAGCACAAGGTATTCAAGCAGTCTTAGGTGTTGGCAGCGAGTGGGTAGCAGAATTATCACAGGTATATACACTTTTCAACTTCTCATTTTCACTGTAAATCATATATAATAATATAACTGTTCTATATTTGTAACCCCTGTTCTCTAATGACATGGTTGAATGATTTAATTGCAGTCAAGAAATTCACCTAGCGGAATACCATCACAACTTCAACTTGGATTGCTATCACCTCTTTACCTTCGCAAATTGTTTGAACGCTTAGGGGCTACCTATATCAAATTAGGTCAGGTATGTGTCTTTTTGTTAATTCTCATGCATATAAAGAGAAATGACTCATTGTTGATAAGCTTGTTTTGGTGAATGAATCCTCTTCATGTATATATTTTTGTAATTTGTAGTTCATAGCATCAGCTCCCACATTGTTTCCGGAAGAATACGTGCAAGAATTCCAGTATTGTTTTGATAGAGCTCCAGTTGTTCCTTTTGAAGAGATTAAGAGCATTCTACGTGAAGAACTAGCAGGGCCTATAGACAGTATCTATGACTACATTGATCCTACACCACTTGCCTCAGCCTCAATTGCACAGGTTTGATGATATCATTTTCTTTGAAAATAAAATCAATATATTCTTTATCTAAAATTTTGGAAAAATAAAAACAATCTTTAGGTACATGCAGCAAGGCTTAAAGGGTCACAAGCAGATGTAGTAATAAAAGTGTTGAAACCCGGAATTGAAGATGTATTAGTTGCAGACCTCAACTTCATTTATGTTGTTGCTCGCATTGTAGAGTTCTTGAATCCTGATTTCAGCCGTGCATCACTGGTATATGATTTGTAAAATTTACAAAGTTTTTTATAGGATTTATTTATTTATTTATTGTAATGTTTGCATTTTGTAAAGTAGGTTGCTATTGTGAATGACATAAGAGCATCGATGCTTGAAGAAGTTGACTTCAAGAAAGAAGCAGCAAATATAGAGTCCTTCAGAAGTTACCTAGAATCAATGGGGCTTACCAGGCAGGCTACAGCTCCTAGAGTGTATCCAGAATGCAGTACAAAACGAGTTCTAACAATGGAGAGACTTTATGGGGTCCCACTTACTGATTTGGACTCCATAAGCTCTCTTGTTTCAAGTCCTGAAACCAGTCTTATAACTGCCCTTAACGTATGGTCTGTCTGAGTTCAGTTACCCTACTTGATGTCTTTTGAAATGCAGATGATGGTATTTCTTACAATGATAAACTTTGTGCAGGTTTGGTAGTTTGTTGGGATGTGAAAGTTTCCATGCAGATGTTCATGCTGGTAACTTGTGGTTATTACGTGATGGTCGTATTGGGTTTCTTGATTTTGGTAGGTGCTCGTTGTTAAATGACCAAAATACCCCCAATCCATATATATATATATATATATATATATATATATATATATATATATATATATATATATATATATATATATATATACTGATGATAGGCAAAATTTATGGGTGGGTGGGTGGGTTGCAGGAATTGTGGGACGAATATCACCAAAAACATGGGGTGCAATGGAAGTGTTTTTGGGTTCAATTGCAACTGAAGAATATGAATCAATGGCATCTGCCTTGATTGAAATGGGTGCTACAAACACGGATGTGGACTCTAGGGCATTTGCTAGAGATTTGGAGAAGATATTTTCTTCCATACAGGTATGTTTTTAACCCTGGTTAAATCATATCAAACTAGCTTTTGACAATTAAATAAAATTAAGGGACAAGTATTTTAAAATTCAGGATTTGGATACAGAAATTGTAGTTGCAACAGCAACCCGAACAAACACAAATGCAACTGCTATATCGGCCAATTTAGTTGTTGATGAGAGGCAGATGAATGCGCTGTTTCTTGATGTGGTAAGCATAAATAAATAACTTTTTGTTTGTGGTAAGCATAAATACTGAATACATTTATTTAGTTATTGATGTGAATTGTGAATATATATAGGTACGGGTTAGTGAGTCATACGGGTTAAGATTCCCTCGGGAGTTTGCACTTTTAATGAAACAGCTTCTGTATTTTGATCGCTACACTCGGTTACTAGCTCCCAACATGAACATGCTTCAGGATCAAAGGATATCAATTGCCTCAAATCAAAGAACAACCAATCGCAACATCTACTAAATGTTAATGCTACTTGTTCCTTCTACATTCGTATATATAGCAATAGTACTCAGTTACATACATACATATACATTGAGCAGCATTAAGTAATGAAATATAAATGTAACCTTACCTTGGTTAAATCTAGATCCTGAACCGATATAGCAAACCTCAGTGTGTATCAACTTATAAAATTTTGTGATTTTTTTAGTACATACCCGATACATTTTTGGGTCTTGTGACCGAAGGTCCCATGCACAAAGACCAGGGGACTCTTTGCATGGCTAGCCTAAAACCATCATTGCCCGACTTCAAACCCTAAGGTCAAATTTGTCACGTTGACAGGAAATGACATAGCATGTACTGTGATTCACGTTTGTTGGATTGAGACCGTGATTGATGTTAATGGTACAAAAGTTAAAAAAAAATTGTCATGTCCAAAAGGTGGAAGAAGGTGAGACGTAATTGCGCTCACCATCATCGAAATATCATTAGAAAGTTTGTGTAATCCCATATAGTCTAATTATGTTCCATGTAACAAACACAGCCTAAAGGCAATCAAATTCTTTCTCATTTAACAAACACAAATTGGTGTATAAATACAAAAAGTGAAAAAGGCAAACCAGCGGTTCTCCAATGTTCATTTGCATTTAGGTGTATAAAAAGCGTTGGAAGATAGAAAATTATATGCTAGAAAACCGAGTCGGTTTAAGTTCATTATGTACCGGTTTGGTTAAGGTTCTTAATCGTTTCTTTGGTATGATGGAATGAAATCACCAAAGAATGGAATGGACAAGTAATAGAATGAGGAAGGTCATGGAATGGATAATTACATTTTGTTGTCATGTTTAGTTGATTCGAAAGAATGAAATGAGTCATTCAAACATACTTGTTATCAATAAATATAAGGGTTTTTGGCACTTTACCACAACATAGTTTGGTAAATTTACACATTTAGTTACTCAAGTATTTTTTGTGCTCAATTGGTTCTTAACGTTAGAAAATACAGGCTAATTAAGAGTTTAGGGGAAATTGTATCCGGTTTACGGGTGACATGCTGACGTGGCTTGACATACGTGGGTGGGGTTTTTGGCACTGTAGTACAACAAAATTTGACGAATTTACACATTTAGTCACTCAAGTAACCGACCGTTCATGTATCAGGTCATATAATTGTGTAGTTGATAGGTAAAATTCAATTTTAATGGTCTATTAGACAAAAAAAAAATAAAAAAATAAACTTGAGTGATTAAATGTATAAAATTGCCAAACTTATAGTGCCAAAAACCCTAAATATAAAACTAAATAAAATAAAAATGATAAATAAAGAAAAAAGTAATATTTTATAATAATAAACGTTAACTAAATAAAGATATATTGTTAAACAAACTAATATACAAGCATGATTCATTGTGGTCAAATTATATGTTATCAGTTTGTTTTTTTTAAAACAAAATATTTATGAATCTAAGAAAATTACAAAATAAAAATAAAAAGAAATAATACCACAAAATCTTAAAATATAATTATAATAAAAAAATATTTATTTATTAACAATAAAAAACAATTTAGCTAAAGTTTTAAAAATATTAAAAAGATTAATATTGTTAAAGATTGTGTGAATAAAAAAAAAACAATTTAGTTAGGGGTTGGAAGCTTGGCAACTAAAATTTCCTTCTTTATGTGCGTCAGACAGGAGGAAGTCATGTTTCATTGCTGACAGGTGGAATAATGGCAGCTTCTCGTGGGCTTGGAAAAGACATCCTAATTGTCTGCATGAAATGTTGGAGTTGAATTTTGTTGTGAATTTAGTTAACCAAGTGGATAGGTCTAATGGACCTGGAATTTGAAGATGTCGGTGGATGGCAAGTTTCTCGTGAGCGATCTTAGAGGCGTTATTGATAAAAAAAAAATTGACCGTGCTGGTGAGTAATCCCACTATTTGGTTTCATCTAGTCCCTATTAAATGTATTGGATTCGTGTGGAAGGCTTGTCTGGGGCGTATTCCCATAGTGGCGGCTATTTCCAGGAGAGGAATTAGTGTTCACTCTTCTTCTTGTCAAATGTGTTGTAATGGTGTGGATAATGCGAATCATATTCTTCTGGAGTGTCCTATTGCATTTGATGCTCTGGATTGGATTTTCAGTTGGTGCGGTATCTCCTCTTATAGGTTCTTGTCGATCTCCGATTTTGTGAACTTTGCGACCAACTGGGGAAATTGTCCTAAAAAGAAGAAAATCTTTCTAGTTGTTTGCTATGGTTACTTGTGGTGTGCTTGGAAGGCAAGGAATGATGTTTGGTTTAACAACATGTGCGTGAATTCCTCTAAGCTGGCGGATAATGTGATTTATTTGGTTTTTTGTTGGATGAAGCATATGGGTAATTTTAGTAATTGTAAATGGGAAGTTTGGATTGTTTCCCCTTTAACATTATGTAAGTTGTTTTCTTTTTACCCGGTCTTCTTTCTTTTAGGCCGTGGTTTTATATAAATTCCGCCGGTTTAAAAAAGAAAAAAAAAAAGAAAGAAAGAAAAAAACTTACTTTCCTTATGAAATGAAAAAACTCACATCAATTCATGAGTAGGAATCATTTTTCTAAGACTACATGAGGAAAGTTCAATCCATTAATTGGTGAATTTTTGTCATTCGAGTGTTATATAATAGTAAAAAAAGTGATTCGTCCTTACCCAACATGAGCCCAATACATGGGCTCATTTTAGTTTGAAAAATATATATTTAAAGAACGTTTTGGGTTTGCAAAATGAACAACCAAGTTTGATTTTGGTTTTAAGAATTACTAAATTTTACCGAAAACTCCTTTTTAATAAAATATTGACCCAATAACTAAAATCAAAAGCTGTCTTTTAGAAAATATATAGATCATGAACCGAATGGCCAACTCTTGCTTAGGGGTGTAAACGAGCCGAGCCGAGCCCGAGCCTAACCAAGCTCGAGCTCGGCTCGTTTAATTTTGAAGAAGCTCGAGCTCGAGCTCGAGCTCGATTCGAGCCTTAAAATGAAGCTCGAGCTCGGCTCGTGAACAATTTAGTGAGCTCGCGAGCCTAAACGAACCTCTCTCTCTCTCTCTCTCTCCTCTCTCTCTCCTCTCCCTCCTCTCTCTCTCTCTCTCTCTCTCTCTCTCTATATATATATATATATATATATATATATATATATATATATATATATATATATAATATATATATATATATATATAAGCTCATTTAAGCTCGCGAGCCCACTATGTGTTCACACTGAGCTATGTGTATATGTTGTTTAGCCTATTAGATACCTCGTTTAAGGGTTCACCACTTACCACTCATATTTTTTTGGCAAATCGGTTTTCTATTCACTCACATTTCACTCACCAAAAAACAATGAATTTTTAATATATTTTTTTATAATTTTTTAGTATATATATAATTTAACAAATATTAAAAAAACTAAAAAAAAAAACATTTAAGTTGTTGTCCAATCAGGAGAGGAGAGAGAACACAAGGAGTATACCCCTCACCCCTAAACCGCATCCAAGGTGTGGTGTTCCTGGGTGCGGTTTCCATTTCCATTCACTCTTTCCGCACCCACTCCGTCCGGCCTTAGATGTGACATTGTGGCAAAACTAACATTGGACATATTCGACACAGAACGTTTGAAAGCGTTTGAGAGCTTCTAGCTGTAGCGTTTGACAAAACTCTCCATTTTGAAAAAAAACATTGTTTGGCAATACAAGTTTCTAGCGTTTGGTTTAAACAAAATGCTTCAAATTAAAATGCTACTTCACGTAACGTTTAACAAAACGATACAAGCTACAAACTACCTGCTATCCGCTACAGCTAGTTTTGTCGAACACGCCTATAATATAGTAACCCAAAACAAATTAGACAAGTTTGTGTAAGAAACTTAAACCTGTTTAATTCAATAAGTTGAGAAGATACAATACGAAAATTAAAATGGTCAAAGTTAGGATTGATAATTTCAATTTGAAAATATTACATTTATTTATATTATTTGTTTGATAAATTGGACAGAGACGAAAATAAAATAAGATATACAATAAAAAATTCAAGTTAAATTCTTTTGTAATATATAAACCTTACACATCCATAAAAAAAGATATACAATAAAAAATTTAAGTTTAATTCTTTTGTAATATATAAACCTTACTTACTTCATCTCTCAGCCTCCCAAATACATGATCAAATACATGATGACTTCTCTCTCATACTCTCTAGTCCCACCCACGATCATTCTTTTTCTCATGCCTTCACTTCTCTTCTTCCAAACTCCTATTTTTCCACTTTGTCTTTCTAAATTTAGTAATTTACTATGTATTTCTCTCTTCCACCTCTTTTAAGTTTTTCATTTTTTTTTCTTTTCACATTCTCAACTCCTACTTTTACAATTTGTCAAATGATTCAACCATGATACAACACATGACATAATACAACATAATGGACAAGGTTCAAACCCTAACATGGTTCAAACCCTAACATGCTAACGAAGATAAACATGCAAGGTTAGGGTCGCGTGAGCTCGACCCGTTTAGTGTTTTTAATTCAACACAACAACTTTGCCAGGTGATCTAGTTTTGCTTTTGCTTGTTCAGCTTCGGAAGCAAAAATATACCCAATCTTATAAAATAAATAATAATCAAACAATACTGACAAAAAAATACCAACAAAACCATATAACACAAATATATATGCAAAACTGTACACTATAAATTTATAACCGACTCCTTTCAAAACTTCCCTCTTGAATCAACCTCGTATCACCTTGCTCGGAGAAGCATAACCCATGAGCCAATGCAGTGGGGAACCATTGTTCGCGGGCTCAACCTCCTCGATTTCTGATATCACCTTTCTCCGGCCTGAAGCCCTTGAAGAAGAAGAAGGCCCGGATGGGCCCGCCTTTCTTCTCTCCTCAAAAAACTCCCGAGAACCATTTCTATCCGTTTCCGTAGAATAACTCTTCTGAAACGATATATCCGAACACGAAACCGGGCCCAGGCCCAGTCCCGCTCTCACATCACCATAGTCTTCCACCTCACTGCTCGGAGGAGCAGCCATCATTTCTTCAGGATAATATCTATGGACATGAGTCCCATCAGAAACCGTGAAGTTGAGCACATTCTCACAAGCACCACACCTCAAGCTATGGCATCGTTTCTTGAAAACAAGAAAGCTTTGAGGCAGCTGTAGA